ATATTATTTATAAAAATCACAGTTGGAAAAAAATTTTAAAGATAAAAAATGTAGGGTTTAACCCTTTTTTTAGGAATTAAATTAATTTTTTTAAATTTAAGAATCAACTTAAGGGTTCATATAATAATTTAAGCTAAATCTTTAATTTGGTCTTTCAACTATTGTATAGACTTTAGATCTGATCCCTAAACTAAAAAATCTTTGATTTAGTCCTTATTGTTTATCAATTTAGTTTTAAGTTGATCATTTCATACAAAAGCAAATGACGTGCTTCATTATTAATGTGACACATAGCAGTTAAGTAGTGATTTTTTATCATTAAGTAACAGATATATTAATTATTTTTTAACGAAAGGATTAATTTAGGACCAAATTAATAAATAATAGGAACTAAATCAAAGATTGTATAATAATTGATAGACTAAAGTAAAAAAATTTTTAATTTAGGAACTAAATCAAGGTTTTATACAATAATTGAAGAATCAAATTAGAGGTTTAACCAATAATTTAAAGATAAAAAATGTAGGGTTTAACTTTCTTTTTTTTTTTAAAGAATTATTAGTTTTTATTGTTATCACTCATCAGGAGTCGTGGAGTTTTATTGACAGCGACATTATGTCCTGTCAGTTAGTCTTGAATTTTTGTTTTGTTTTGTTTTTTTTTTTATGAGACGATTAGTCTGGATTGGACGGTTGGTCTTGATTGGAGGTTTACAAAAATAAAACTTTTTAATAATTTAAATAATTTAATAATAATTTTTATAAAAAAATAAAAAATTAAGACTTTGAATCGCATGATGGCACACAGCAGGACGGATTAATGGATGAAAACGAATTGTTACTTGTTACGTAATATGAGATATAAAAAAACGTGGGCTAAATTGATAGGTTTTCTATTATTAATGCTTCCTTGTCCCAGACGCTTTCTCAGAAAATTTGAAAAGTATGAGGAATCAATGAAGTTTCTCACGCTTCAATTTAGTGGTTAAAATTATAAATTAGTAGGAATTAATTTTTATGATTTGTGTCTTTAAGTCTCATAGGATCTTTATTTTTTAATATTTATATATTTAAAATTTGTATTAATTATTTTTTTTAAAAAAAATTATCAATAATTTAAGTAATTTAATGATAATTTACTTTTGTTAGACTCATAGGATCTTTATTTTTTAATATTTATATATTTAAAATTTGTATTAATTATTTTTTTTAAAAAATTAT